GTTCTACCTCAACTCCCCGAACTGACTCTGTAACCCTTTGTTACTGCTAACAGCTCATGATTATAGATGATCATTTGAAAGAAAATAGTCTTTCACTGTTCCTGCAGGCTTCTGTTATTCAGGCATTCCCCTTGAAATTTACTGGTCAGTCTTAAAAACAACAGATGTGACCAAACATGCCACATCTGACACAGAACCCTCTGGCCACCGAAAGGTCCTGGTTTCCCTGGGGCTCAAAGCCAGGACCCTCTCACTGTGAGGCGATGGTGATAACCACCATGCTGCCCTTGGTTTACTGTTTTAGTCCTGGTATTTGTTAATTATCTTCTCCAACTCCGTGGACTCAGGAAAGCAGGCTGATCCATCACTGTGTTCAATCCAGCCACCCTTTAAAAAGATTACGCTAACCTTTCATCCCTCTTGGAAAACTCCGAAGGGATTTTAAATGGCACTCATCCACTTGTCTTTGGAGACCCAAAATGAGGCAAGCTGCAAGATGTATGAATAAATTAAGGGAATCATCTCAGATTATAGGACTTCTGATCAAATCTGAGTCCAAAAGATTATAAAAAGGCTTTAGTGCTTGACTTATGTGAAGGTTGGCGGTTTGACCCCTGCTTTCTGCCCTTTACCTGAATCCATGTGGAAAAAAGTGCCTCTGTGATGTAAGAAATAATGCGAAAACACACTTGTAGTGGTTGTTGGGTTTACACAATGCCAACACTCACATGCAGTGTTCCATACAGAATAAGTATCTATGCTGAGAAGCAGGAAGTCTGGACAAGTCTGTGGACCAGTTTTCATGTTACTAATTGGCTCTGTAGGACTCACCAGCAGCTGGACCGGCACCCAGAGCAACCGGAGCTTCTCTCCTGGCTTCCATCCTCAGGTGGCCAGAGACAACATGTCTTCCATCATTTTGTTTAAGAATCAGTTTCATGTTTTCTACCAGTGCAGGCAGTTGGAGGCCTCTCAGCTTCAACGACGTGCGGTTGCATCTTCTGATCACTTCCTGCAAAGATGACCATGATGAGGGAATGGAATAATGATACAGGCTGCTCCCCTTTTTGGGTGCCGATGTCAGAACCAGCGAATGATGGAAGGAGGCATCGCTGAAGAGTTGCAGAGCTCTGCAGAGCCTGTGTTTCCGCTCCTCCGTGAAGCTTTCAGGCTGCACAACCAGCAGGAACAAATGAGGTCCAGGAGCAGAGAGCCTCACACAGCCCTCCACCAGTTCGGTCAGTTTGTGTTCAGAGATGGCTGCACAGAAGATGTTTGGGGTGTTGACAAGAAGGGCTTTCGTCCCCTTAATCAGTCCATGGACCCTCACGCAGCTCTTTGGCTCTTCCTCAGAGTTGAATGCAGCCTCTCCCAGGAGCAAGTTTGCTACCGAACAGTTTTCAGTCCAGCTGTCCCCCAGCAGAACAGCCCTCAGCTCTGACACTGAAGGAGAAAGAGACACATAAACACACTGTCACAACACTTACGGTATGGAAAAGTATTTGACCCCTTGCTGATTTTGTCGGTTTGCCCACTTACAAAGAATTAAATTATCTGTAAATGGAATCAAATGTGCATTAACAGTGAAAGATAGAATCTCAAAGAAAATTCCAGAAAATCAAATAATGTTAATGAACAGCATTTGATGACCGTCTGAAAACAGTGTTTGACCCCCTTGACAAGTATTCAGGTTCCTACAAGCCATTAAGTCTTTCTTTAAGACACTCCCCAATCCAATCTAATTGTCCACATCAAACTCACCTGCCTCACCTCATTGCCTGTATAAACCACCCACTGAGAACCACCCAAAGGATGTCACGTACAACACTGTGCACACCCAAACCTAAAGAACCCAGAGTAAAACCCAAAGGATGAATGCCACTCAAAATCAACTGACTACAACCCATAAAAACAGAGCACCACCCAAAAGACGCCAAGTACAACATGGAAAACCACCTGAAGGACACCAAGTACAACGCCGACAACCACCCAAAGGACTGTCAGCGACCAAGAAGACCAGAAGGTAATGTGGACAAAACCAAAATAAAGACCTTTTGGGTACAACTCAACTCCCCATGTTTAGAGGGGAAACAACACTGAGCACCACCCAAAGGACCCCAAGTACAACCCAAAGGAAGCCAAGTACAACACTGAGCAGCACCCAAACCCAGAGAACAAAGAGCAAAACCCAAAGGACAAGTGCCACCCAAAACCCACCAATTACAACCCAAAGAACTGCGAGCACAATCCAAAGAACACCAAGTACTAGCCGCAGCCGTAGCCTAATGGCTAGAGCGGGCGGCCCATATGCGAAGCCTCCGCTTGCAAGCGGGCGGCCTGGGTTCGAATCCAGCCCATGGCCCTTTCCCGCAGGTCTTCCCCTCTCTATCTCTGCCCCCTTTCCTGTCAAGCTACTGTCATTAAAGGCCACTAGAGCCAAAAAATCTTTAAAAAAAAAAAAAGAACACCAAGTACAACACAGAGAACCACCCAAAGGATGTCGAGTACAAAACCGAGAACAACCCAAAGGATGCGTAGTACAAAACAGAGAACAACCCAAAGGACGTCGAGTACAAAACCGACAACCACCCAAAGGACATCGAGTACAAAACCGAGAACCACCCAAAGGACATCGAGTACAAAACCGAGAGCCACCCAAGGGACGTCGAGTACAAAACCAAGAACCACCCAAAGGATGTTGAGTACAACGCCGAGAACCATCCAAAGGACCCCAAGTACAACACCGAGCACCACCCAGCGGACAGTGAGAATCACCCAAAGGACACCACCATCAAGCATGTTGGTGGCAGCGCCCTGCCTTTCAGCCAGGCCTGAAGGCCATCGCATTGAGAGGAGGATGGACGGGTTCATGTACTGTAGAATTCTGGACCAACGCCTCTTTCCCCCAGTGAGAGAGTGTGTGTTTGCAGGCTGACAACGATGCAAAGCAACAAAACAGCATCTGAAGCAGCAGCATCCAGGTTCTGGGGGGACCTGGTCAGTCTCCAGACCTGAATCTAGCTGAAATCTAAGGAGGGAACTTAGCTTCCAGAGCCTGATTGGTTTGGAAGCTGCCTTCAGGGAGGAGTTGACCCAACATACTGTTTGGTAGTCGAATACTTTCTCCCCCCAATGCAGCCCATAAAGGAATAATAAAGATATGATTTAGTCTTTGAAAACTTACAGTTAGGCGGCAGGAGTCCAATACTTCCCCTCCGAGCTCCTAAATATCGTCCTGGTGGGGCTGAAATAAAGAGAAACATGCATCATTATATACATTTTCCTCTATTTTAATCTGAATATCTTCTTCAGACTGAACAGTAAATTACAGATTCACGTTCTTTTTAAAAACCGGATGGACAGAGAAAGGCTTTTCATTTCATTATTCTCATTTAAACCAGACGCCACCAGAACCCCTGAATCACCAAAGCAGCAGTAGTGACTACAACACAAGAAGAAGGGTATGAAAATACTCCACTAATGAGTTCAGAGTGGAAGAAAAGGTCACACAGCGCTTGAATCCAATCGGGTTTGACTCTTTAACCCAAAGTTAGCTTGTGAATAGTGAAACCTTTTCTCAGAAAACGGGGTTTTCTCACACTTGCTGTGAGCATCAACCAGAACAACTGAAGCTTCTACTGCTCTGTCCTCCTATGAACAGCCTCCATATGTCGTGCTGTGGACTCGTTCCCCGCGTTTGGACGTCATCGGCCCATTCGTAGACTCAGAACAAGCTAAGGTTGGACATTCACTGTGCGATATTTTCAGTCATTGCACTTGGCTCTACCTCAAACTGCCCGGCAAAATCGCAGGGTGTAAAAGTCCTCAGCTCACAATTTATGTCCTCACACTATACGGCCGGATGCTAACTTGATAACCTCACGAGGGCCGACCAGAATTTAAAAACCGGTTTGATTTTCATCGGACCGTTGGATTGTTGATCGGGTTGTTTGTCGTGAGAGGTTAATCGCTTTCACGTACCCAATCAATTCTCGCACGAGTGAACAGCGGTCTAAAAGAGGCAAAAATCGTACAGTGTATGCCCAGTTTAGGCTGACGACCTGTTTTTCCAGCTGGGAGGAGCTCACAGGCTCCGATAACCCAGGGAAAAGCTTCTCTGGACTCACCAAATCCCGACGCCATGCTGGAGCCTCAGGGGGGGCCCGGGCCGCTCAGAGTCCTCTGGGGTCCGTTTGGTCTTTCATTTAGTTTTCTGTTGGTTTCTGAACAAAAAAAAGACCATCAACATAGTTTTGGGGGTTTTGTTTACATGTTTTATACTTTTTAAATGTTTTTCCGATCTTTGGTTTATTTTGTGTTTCGAGTGTTCGTCTTAGTCTATCGTTCTTTTTTCTGTTTTTACAGCCTCCCTGACCCTCAGCTCTGACCTTTTACCTGTGGAGTCGTCCTCTCAGCCTCCCTCCTCTGTCTTAGGCTCCAGGTTTTCTCCGTTTAGTTCTGTAGATGAATCTTTGGTTGGGTCTCCTTTTACTTCTGTTTATCTTTATTTTTCCCAAAAAAACAAGCTGCATAAAAAAAAAAAAAAGGAAATTGGTGCGTCTCATTTCTGATTTGTGTCCCTGTTCAGTTATTTCCACATATTATAGCACAACAAAGCTGGAAAATTACTCACAGAAAGCT